CATGCTGAGCGGAGTTCGCGGTAACTACAGAGATAGTCCAATGAGCGAATTCGAACCCAGAGATAAAACTCGACCTCTTAGGGGTTGTGCCACCGCACTCCAGTTAACTTTGTGAAGTTAAAGCCAACGTTTTTTTTTAATAATTGCACCACAATTGATTTCGCTTACCTGATTGTAGAAACTGAAAAAACTTCATTTGCGCGTTGTGAAAATAGCACCAGTCGAGTGTTATCACAACACTTGGTATTCGCCGACATATGCAGAGACCTACTGACAGTTCTAGTACTAGACAGAACAGCCGAAACGCTCGAAACATCAATACCTATGCTCATAAATACAATGCAAAAGAATCTACTGTTCCTTCTGATTCACGGAGAATTCTTGCCTCAGTATCTAAGCGTGAATCACAAGATAAGCTTCGTAAATTCACAAACAAAATGTAGAACGACTACGAATATCATATAAATAACGTGATAAAAAACAGTCAAAACCTCATAATAATAGATTTGTATTTAAGTAAATTTCTCTGGCGGAAATAACGAAGAAAATTAACAGTGCTTCTTTTTCAAAAGAAACTATGGAAGAAGTCAATCTTATGTCTCCTATGCAATAATTGTCATTAAATATTCATTTTATCAAAATCAGCGTTCATTTCACGTTGGCGTACGATAACTGAAACGTAGTGTGCATGCCGTTTGGGCATCAGCGCCATTTCGAAAAGGAATAAGTGACGAGCGTAACTCGTTATGTCAGTTCAGTCACACTGTGGTCAGTCGGTGATGGCGTCAGATTATGGCCAACGAAGAGAGGGAAAGGGTTGCAGCCCAGCGAATACCCAAACGCACGGAAGACCTTGACGATGCGCCCGGTGTGGACCATCGGCCAACGTTTGCCGTTCCTTCGGCGGCCGGAGAACCCCGCGCGGCCTTTGCCGTGCTCGGTCGCATTCCACCGACGGCCGCCGAGTAAAAGTCATGAGTCATTTGCCTGTTTTTGCCTTATTCAGCTTATTCGTACATGCTGGGCTGCTTTAAATTTCAAATACTCAGCAACTTTTTCTATAACTAGTTTCAAATGGTAGAATTTTAAATCGATGTTTTCCAAACCGCACGAATTGGCGAATTCGTTTGCATTTGGTGAATTTGCGCTAAAAACTTATGACCAGTTCGTTTCAGCGTTGACTTTGCTTAATTTCTGCACTCGTTCAGCCGGCCATCCAACACCCTTTCGAAGGCCAGCGACAACTGCATTGTTCTGGTCCTCTGCTTGGTCAAAGAGAGGCGTGGCTCGCCTCCGGAGGACTCCGTCTGTCGACGGTTCGACCTCGCTACGGCCATGCCTCTCCGCGACCGTTAGAGCCCTCGAGGTTGTCGCCCTTTGTCCATGTCTGGCTCCTGTGTCCGCCGCATTCCAGGCCTGCACTGACAAGATGAAAGAGGTGAACGACGCAAAACGGTCCTCTCGAAAAGCGCGAAATCAATTCTTCTGACGGTCGCCCGTAAGTCTCGTGTGCATTCTACGATCGAGTATTGATACTTGCTAACGATGTCACAGTCTGTTTGCTTCTTTGTAGTAAGCACCACAGTCCTTCGTGGAGTTTCCATTCGATCACATAATACAACATTTGCATTATTACCCGCCTATTGTAAGTTTTAAATGTGCTTCTGGAACTTCGACTACAGGCTGCTTGACACTGTGACCGTGATAAAGCTTGTGCCTCACACTGCGCAATCATTGAAAGAGCCAGCTTCTAACGGATGGAAAGGCTGGACTGACTTTCAGCACCGCGGGTGGGCATTTGCGCGATCTGTTTCCGTCGCTATTACTTGTTTTTCACCTTTCTGTACGACGCATCTGCCCCGTACTTAACCTATAGTAAGGGGATTGCTGCCAGAGAGGTGACACAACTGGACAGCCGTTTGATTTGCAAAACGCTTTTCAAGAGCGCCGGATCCAATCTCCAAGCACGGTGTAAAAATTTCCCTTGTAATTGTTTGCCATCTGGGGTATCAGGGTCAAAGACTGGCTATCCAGATTAATAATGTCTGGTTTCTCATATTAAGCGCTAACTGCCATTAAGGTTACTCATATTAAACGTTAACTCATATTAAACGCCAGTTACTCATATTAAACTTAACTGCCATGGGTTTGCGGCAGACCAACCCGTTTGAATCCTCAGCATTCGGCGGCAGCCTCGAGTAAAGTGCTTAAAGAGCTTCCAT